ATGGTGATGATGATGATGACGATGATGATGGTGATGAAGATAATGATCGATGATGACGACGATGATGATGACGTTGACGATGATGATGGCAATGACAATGATTATAATATTGGCAGTGAAAATGAAAATTAGATTGGAAATTAATGAAAATGATGAAGAAAGTGATAATATCATTGACAATGACCTGACTATCATTAAGAAAATAATCATCATAATACAACCCCTCATACAACGCTTCCCCTTAACCCTTTCCAACCCTAAACCACCCTTCCTTACACCCAAAAAATAAAGAAAAAAAGAAAGAAAAATCAATAAAATAGGGAGCAAATAAAATAGAAATGATGATTGGCAGACAGTCTCTAAAAGAACGGCCGATGAAACAGGTCTGAGAGCGAAGACTTTCTCCGCCCGCATGTTTCTTCAGACTGGCACCGAAGTATGCAAAATGTGTACGAGAGGCCGGTGACTCACAGAAAACGGAGGCTTGGGCGGTGCACCTTTTGAATGTTGGGCGGTTGGGCGGTACATCTTTTGAATGTGTGGTTGGGCGAATGTGTGGTTGGGCGGTACATCTTTTGAATGTGTGGTTGGGCGGTAGAATGTGTGGGGGTTGGGCGGTAGATTTTTTGAATGTTGTGGTTGGGCGGTGCAATCTTTTGATGTGTGGAGGTTGGGCGGTACACCTTTGAATGTGTGGTTGGGCGAATGTGTGGTTGGGCGGTACATCTTTTGAATGTGTGGGGGTTGGGCGGTACATCTTTTGAATGTGTGGGGGTTGGGCGGTAGAATCTTTTGAATGTGTGGTTGGGCCGGTGCAATCTTTTGAATGTGTGGGGTTGGGCGGTACACCTTTTGAATGTGTGGTTGGGTGTGTGGCGTGGTGTGGGGTGGGCGGTATTTTGAATGTGGGGGTTGGGCGTTACATCTTTTGAATGTGTGGGGGTTGGGCGGTGCACCTTTTGAATGTGTGGTTGGGCGGTACACCTTCTGAAATGCGGTACTCCTTTTGAATGTGTGGGGGTTGGGCGGTACTCCTTTTGAATGTGTGGTTGGGCGGAACCTTTTGAATGTGTGGGGGTTGGGCGGTACACCTTTTGGATGTGTGGGGGTTGGGCGGTACACCTTTGAATGTGTGGGGGTTGGGCGGTACACCTTTTGGATGTGTGGGGGTTGGGCGGTAGATCTTTTGAATGTGTGGGGGTGGGCGGTAGATCTTTTTGAATGTGTGGGGGCGGTACATCTTTTGAAGTTGTGTGTTGGGCGTACATCTATGGAATGTGTGGGGGTTGGCGGTACATCTTTTGAATGTGTTGGGATTCGTCGGTGCATTTTTGAATGTTGGGCGGTGGGCGGTACACCTTTTGAATGTGTGGGGGTTGGGCGGTACACCTTTTGAATGTGTGGGGGTTGGCGGTACACCTTTTGAATGTGTGGGGGTTGGGCGGTACACCTTTGAATGTGTGGGGGTGGGCGGTAGATCTTTTGAATGTGTGTGGGTTGGGCGGTACACCTTTAGAATGTGTGGGGGTTGGGCGGTAATCTTTTGGATGTGTGGGGGTTGGGCGTATTTGAATGTGTGGGGGTTGGGGCGGTACACTTTTGAATGTGTGGGGTTGGGCGGTACACCTTTAGAATGTGTGGGGTTGGCGGTACACCTTTTGGATGTGTGGGGGTTGGGCGGTACACCTTTTGAATGTGTGGGGGTTGGGCGGTGCACCTTTTAGTGTGGGTTGGGCGTTACACCTTTGGAATGTGGGGGGGTTGGCGGGTACACTTTTGAATGTGTGGGGGTTGGGCGGTACACCTTTTGAATGTGTGGGGTTGGGCGGTAACCTTTTGATGTGTTGGGGGTTGGGCGGTAGATCTTTTGGATGTTGTGGATATGTGGAATGTTGTGGGGGTTGGGCGGTACACCTTTGAAATGACACCTTTAGAATGTGTGGGGTTGGGCGGTAGATCTTTTGAATGTGTGTGGGTTGGGCGGTACACCTTTTAGAATGTGTGGGGTTGGGCGGTAGATCTTTTGGATGTGTGGGGGTTGGGCGTACACCTTTAGAATGTGTGGGGGTTGGGCGTTAGATCTTTTGGATGTGTGTGGGTTGGGCGGTACACCTTTAGAATGTGTGGGGGTTGGGCGTACCCTTTTGGATGTGTGGGGGTTGGGCGGTGAATGTGGGGGTTGGGCGGTGCACCTTTTGAATGTGTGGGGGTTGGCGTTTACACCTTTTGAATGTGGGGGGTTGGGCGGTACATCTTTTGAATGTGTGGGGGTTGGGCGGTAACCTTTTGAATGTGTGGGGGGTTGGGCGGTAGATCTTTTGAATGTGTGGGGTTGGGCGGTAGATCTTTTGAAATGTGTGGGGTTGGGCGGTACATCTTTGAATTGTGGGGGGTTGGGCGGTACACCTTTTGAATGTTGTGTTGGCGGTAGATCTTTTGAATGTGTGGGGGTTGGGCGGTACACTGAAATGTGTGGGGTTAGGCGGTACACCTTTTGAAT